CCAAACCGGCAGTAGCTGCACTGGGTGCGATATCGGCTTCCTGCCCAGGCTCTGCTGGGCCGGTGTCAAGTTCGTAGGGGCCTTCTCATGGTTGATGCTTCTTAGTCTCTCTGTCAGTGCATTATGTAGATGGCTTACAGTGGGGCACCACATAATTAAACGCGAAGTGCAGGGTGCTGGAAGTAGAAATATCTTGTCTTTCTTCAGGTAAATTTTACCAACATGCTACAACAGAGGCCTCCCAAGCCACCTTAGCTAGCGTGTCTCCTGTTTTTGCAGTGGTAAGTACGTGCAGGCGTTTCCACCAACGAGGGCAGCTTGTGTAAGGTCATGGTGCTCTTTTTTTCTTAAAGCATCAGAAGAGCAGATGGATTAGTCTCTCGGAGAACATCCCTAGTTCTAAATTGTTGCTTTAAGGTATTCTGACTTGAGGACCAGTTGTGGTGTACAGTGTTCATCAACATGTTTTTCTAAGATCCAACATCTGATGGAAGTTCTCTTGCTTTAATTGTGAAGGCAGGTCAACTCTGAGAAGTGCTGCAGTCAGAAGGTTTCTTGTTAAGCTTGTCAAGGCTTGCTAATGCCTTTTAGAAATACTATTCCTGTGTCTTGCTAGCTGCAAGTCTAAGCAAACATAGGATTTGGGGAAAAACAAGCTCTCTCTATATTCTTTATTATAATGAGTCTGAAAGCTATTTGCAAACTGCTTGATTGACATTATTAGTGCATGTGAGGGAAGGTAAGGCCTCCTTGCTGGGAACGAAAAGCAGTCATTCTGCAACAAGGTGCATGCAGCTGGGTCCTTCTGGCCGTGTAACTCCTGTTGCAGCTCTGCTGGAATGTATGCTTAGGTATGTTTAATTTGTGGACAGTTATTTTTAAAGCCAGTAATATGGAATTAAGCTACATGGTTTATGAGCAAAACAGTAAACTTTCTGATTAAGCAGACATTGCATTTTTTCCAATAAAATAATTTTACTAGGAGATATAAGTGTTAAATGAATAATCTGAATGACAAGTGCTAAGACAAGAAGGATTTAGATGCAGGTTACTAGCTGAATAGCATACTAATGCAATACTTGACATGGGCACAAGGCCTAACTACCCAATTTATGGTACTCATTACTTTTAAAATTTTATTTGTAAATTTTTCAGATTGGTCCAGAGGACATAGCAAAATTTGTAATCCAGAATGTAAGATGCCCTGCTGATCTCTTTTCCTTGGTATGGAGTGATAGGAGGTGTGGGCATGGTTCAAAGCTGCGCCAGGGGAGGTTTAGACTGGACATTAGGAAGCATTTCTTTACCGAGAGGGTGCTTAAACCCTGGAACAGGCTTCCCAGAGAGGTGGCCCATGCCCCGTGCCTGTCAGTGTTGAAGAGGCATTTGGACAACACCCTTAATAACATGCTTTCACTTTTGGTCGGCCCTGAACTGGTCAGGCAGTTGGACTCGACCATTGTTGTAGGTCCCTTCCAACTGAAATAGTCTATTCTATTCTATCCTATTCTATTCTATTCTAAGTCTGATCCTCTGTAAATCACCTCCTTCCCAAGGTTTATGTAGGAACATGGTCATGCAGATGACACTGGTTTTATTTGGTGTGTATACAAACACAGTGAAAAATATGGCAATTTGGTGCAATATTTTTCTTAATTGGGATGAACTGTGAAGAGAGGGCATAAAAGTTGCTTTTTCTTCTTAATGCATTTTCCATTTGACTTCTAGGCAAGTGCAAACAATTTTAGAAATTGATTTCTTGTTTCGTAGTAGTTCTGTGAAAAAAATATTTTTTTCCACTCCTTTAGATGAAGCTTGACAAAGAAGGAAATACTACCTATTTCGGTGAGTTTTCATTGTAATTTATTTTGTTTGTCTTTTTTTTTTTTGTTTGTCTTTTTTTCCTTGTCCAATACAGAAAACCCAACTGGGAATCTACATGGGGTAGAAAATTATATTTGGATAATATATATACACGCACACAGAATATACATATATTATACTGTTAAAAGACGTGTAGATATGGCACTTAGGGATATGGTTTAGTGGACATGGTGGTGTTGGGTTGACAGTTGGACTCGATGATCTTAGAGGTCTTTTCCAACCTTAATGATTCTATGATTCTGTGATTATACATATATATATACACACACATATATATACACACAGAATATACATATTCACTGTATTTATTTGGGATGTTGCAACGTGTCCTCTGTTTTGCTGCTTTCTGTTGGTCTTCATAGCATCTTTATTGTTACAGTTTTTGTATATTTTTAAGTACTATTTTGAAAATAGCATATACCATCTCTCACAGTAAGGTCATTTTTACTTTGTCTTTTCCTTTTTTGACCAGCATGCTACTTTCCCTGCCTTGTATTTCCCTTCTGTAGGATTACATATGATTTCTCAAACAAGTCACTTGGTTTCTGACATGAAATTAATTGTCATGGCCAACTTTTCTCTTTCCACTCAAGATACAGTCTCCTAAACTTTGTAAAAATAAAATACATTGAGGAATCAATGGTAGGAAATTTGTCTTAAAGGTAGCACAGCTTTTTTTTCTTTTGCAGGGCTTAATAACACACTAAAACGTAATTTCAGAACATATATGCTTGTCTCCTAAATGTCTTAATCTAAAAATATTTTTATGATAGAGAAGAAGAAAACAGAATTGTACCAGGAATTGGGTCTTCAAGCTCGAGATCTAAGATTTCAACACTTAATGAGCATTGCAACTAGGAACAACAGGATCATCATGAGAATGGAGGTAATGGTTTCCCTGAAGCTGAGCGTAAACTTGAACTGTGTCTTATCCTTGCAGTTGTATTTTCTTGCACAGTTCTTTTAATACCAGCTTTCTATTACATGCAGTCCAGCAGTAAATGTGTCTTTGGAGCTCTACCTAGCAATCAGTGGTGCGGGTTTATCAACAGTACATATTAATGACCATTCTCCTAGTTGAGCACAGGAGAAACATTACTGACATTGTCATAGAAGTAAAGGCTCACGAGGAGCCTCTTCTCAATCATACCACCACTAGCACAGTGCTGTGTCTGAACCATGGGGAATCTGCTAGTTTGCAGTTAGCATGAGATGCTGTTATTTTCCTGCCTGAAAAGACATTTGAAGAGTGGCTTTATCAAAGCCTAAATTATCAAATGCATTACAGAGTTACGAGAAGTCTTGAGAGAGTTTTTTTCAGACTCCTACATGTACTGTCTTTTTCAGTTCTTGAAGGCTGTCATAACACCAGAGTTTCTTCTGATACTGGATTATCGTAATTTAAATCTGGAACACTGGCTCTTCAACGAACTAGCGTCTCAGCTGGCTGGGGAAGGTCAACTAGTTACATATTCCCTGCCCTTTGAATTCCGAGCTATAGAAGCAATCCTGCAGTACCGGGTGAGCTATGTCATTTTTATTTAAATTCTTTTGGAAGTTGTTGCTTCATAGAAAGGACAGTATGATTTTATTCTTGTCTTAATATTTATACATACACATTTGTATATGTATTCCGCACTTACTGTAGCAGCTCTTTTTTCGTTTTGGCTTTTGTTGCTTTAGTTTTTATAGTTTTGTGTGAGTGTGTGTGTTTCCATTCCCTCCCCAAGAAAGTGTTAATTGGATGTGATGGCTTCACCATCATTTGGACAATTAAAAAACAAGTCAGAGTACCTTTCTAGAGACATGCTGTAGCTGAAATGGAAGTCACACAAAAGCGCTGAAGTTTTTGGCCTCTTGGGCAGAAGTCAGATAATGATTTCTAGCTATCCTTAAAAAATCTATGCTTGCTAACGCTCATATGACATTTCTAGACAAATAGCATTTTAGCTTTATCAGCCTCATTGGTGTGGTTGTCACTGGGTTTCAGTTCAGTGCAAATCACTTTTATAAAATACTGTATTTTGCACTGGCTTTACCTTGTAAGTGGTATCCCTATAGCAAGTACTTCCCAGGCATTGGAAAGCAGATTGTGTTAACTGCCTATTATTACTGTGAATTCTGTGTTCAGAGACAGGAGTCAGTTGCCCAAGTAATTCTAAAGGGATTGCTTTAATTCTTATGAAGGATCATGTTGTTATCTAGATCAGCAAACTGCAGGGGAGACTTAACACTTTGCAGCCTCAGATCCTTGAGACACTGGAAGCTCTAGTGGACCCCAAGCTTTTGTCTGTGGATAGGAGTAAACTACACATTCTCCTGCAAAATGGCAAGAGGTAAATAAGAATAAGCTGTGAAGAGACTAGAAGATGACCATAGAAAATTATGTGCAACGGTATGTTAGAAAAATGGTATCTAATATTAGTTTCCTAGATTACTGTAATGCTGGGTTGTGCATCTTACTTGTAAATGTAAAAATCGGTATATGAAATACCTAGTGATACGGGGAAAAACAGAAAAAGGGAAATCTATTCCGAGTTGTTAGAAATACAGTCGAGCTTCTTAAATAGCATCTGACAGAACAAAATAATACCCAAGAGAGCAAAATAACATCATGAAAATGTTCCCCATGATGTGATTAGCCTTCGGATCTATGCTTTAAGGTTACTAGTACTAATACACTGGTACCTTCATGTATCAGCCTCTCTGATATGACAGTGCAAATATGCACTCGCTACATGTTCATGGAGTGCTTGTTTTTTTCTGACTTACAAATATATCCAGAAAACACATCTGAATCCCTTATAGTGTGTGGCTGTAGCTCGCTGGTCCCCAGAGAGATCACTGCCACTGCTAAGAGTGTGGCCTGTAGAGCATTTTTTGAAGGAGCTCTTAGAACCCTGCAAGGAAGTCTTCCCTGGCCACTCTGTCTGGCGAGGGTGCTGGCTGGCAAACTCGTTTAGAGGTTACCTTTGTGCACTGGTGCCAGTGGGGATTACTTGACCTTTTGCCTGTTCTTTCTTCAGCTTATCAGAACTGGAAACAGATCTTAAAGTTTTCAAAGAAACAATTCTGGAGATCTTAGATGAAGAAGAATTAATAGAAGAGCTCTGTCTATCTAAATGGACTGATCCACAAGTATTGTATGTATATTTTGAAACCACATACTTTTTTAACTGTGTGTTTTGTTTAAGGAGAACTTGAACACTAAACTGTGTGTTCCCTGCCAAAAAGCAGAAAGAAAAAGACTTTCTAATTTTTTAAAGCCCTAATGCTTGCCACTTCAGAAATCATTGTATTTGCCGTTTTGGAGAGGGACTCCATTAGCACTAGTCATATTACGCAGTTTCAAATAGTTCTGGGCATAACAGGCCAGATCATCTAGTATGTAATGGGATGGGAGCAGGATGGCAGGAGGAGAAAAAGCAAATGTTATTTTTCAATACAAATTAACATTTTCTGGGAGAACGTTCTTCAGTTTCACCAAAAAAACGAAGAGGCAGGTTTTAAAGCTTGTCTCAAATAGTTCAGACACCACACTTCCTTTGTTAGAAGTGTTCTGAACACCTTGCTTCTAGTGTTTTGCTCACCAGCAGAACCTGAAGGAAAGAGGCCCTGGAGCAATCTTGTTGTGCACCTGAAGAGCAGCATTTCAGGAAAAATGTACATGCAGAAAAGCCCTATTGCACTCTCAAATTCTGGTGAAAGGCAGCACACAGCAGCAGCAGCACCGGTTGCTTTAACGAAGACTAAAAAGCAAAAAGATAATGTATATCAGATCCCAGTATGTTTTAGGCTGAATTGTATTTAAATCTTGGGCATACAGGCATGTTTTATGTTTAAGCAGATAACAGAAACTACCTTTCAGGGTCCTTTGCGAAGTTGCTGAATAATACTTTTGCCTAACCAAATTGCATGTGGATATTAATACTGTTCACACAGTAGCATGGGTTTGAAATCAGGAGATAGTTTCTTGCCCTGCACAGCTTAGTCTAAATGTGCAGCAGAAACTCAGTATTCCAGAAGTGGGACGTGGTTTGCTTTTCTAATGCATCTGCTGGAGCAGTATCGGGAGGGCTCTGAATTCCAGGCTGCTCCTGAGCCAGCAGCTGGTCTTCATCCTGCTTTTGCTCACAGCCTTCCTTTGGACTTAATACAAGCTGCTGGCAAATATCTTC